CCTTGATGGACTATGATGTACTGACATATTAAAGGTAGATGTGGGCTTGAACCAGATTTGAAAAGTTCACTACCCCTGACTTTGGGGTGTCTAAAATCCATCATTTGATCAGGATGCCCATTTTTCAGCTTGACCCCAACTCTAATCAAAGGGAAGCGCATTCCAAAGTTGCAGGACTGGATGGAGAAGGCTTGCCTCTTAAGATTATACCCTGGAGCAGTCAGCAGCTCCAAAGCCACTGACTTTAAGTGCTATGATGAAAATGTCTACGTATTATATTCCTGGTGTTATTGAGGAGCACAAAAAAAGATCACATATTTTATCATCAGTCTCTGGTTAGTTCTTTACCTTATCACAACACAAAATTACAAATTAGCTTATACCCATCTCAGAACAACTTTACTGAGCCCTGTTTGCAATGATTAAGAAAATAAAATAATAATTATTATTAATAATAATAATAATAATAATCCAACTGGGTTCAAGAAAATCACCATATCACAGCCCTAGGCTAATTTGTATTGCTGTGCTCTGGTTGGGAAGGAATAAAATAGTGTCTGGTAGTCAATCATTTTTGGTAAGATGCAGTCTGTAATTACTGTATGCCCATAATTAACTACAACGCTTTGCACTCTCTCTCAATTACCGTTCTTGTTGCTACCTTTCCTAGTTCTCAAAACATTTTGTTCAATTTCCTCTCTATCACCTTTGTTAGGGAGCGATGTACTGCTTTGCCCTTTGTCCCAAGCACTCTGGAGAACTGCTTGTTATGTCTTTATTTCAGCCGCAGTATGACTGATTCACACTCATTTCAGGAGAAGAGGGGCAGAGAGTATGCGAAGAGGGGGGTGGAATTTGGGTTTGTTTTGAATCTTAGAAACCTCTTTTCCCCCAAACATGATTCCCATTCATCCTGTGTGTGTGTGGATACAAAAATTACAGGCACTCTGCTCATGGTTGCCTTGACAACAGCAAGGCATTCTTGTTTATGGTGACCAGTGGGCCTGCAAGTTTCCCAGGCCCATGGGGAAGGGGAGGGCACACGAAGAAGAAGATGGAGCAGAGATGAATGAGATGGCAGAGTAGTTGAGAGCCAGCAGCCATGTGGGAGAGCAAGCTGCGAGCAGGATTAAAGGGGCACATACATCTCCACAGAACAATGGGAGCTTTTGCTGGCTTTCTATGGAAGAAAAGAATATGTACACAATGGCCTGTGACACATAAAAGCCTCAGAGCTAACTTTATTGCTTCTCCATTAAGGACTTTGCCAGAGACCCATTCAGCCCTAAGAAGTCTCATCAACCCTTAAAAATAATTAAGAAAATAAAACCTTTCATTCTTTCTTGTTTTAAAAAAATCTGGATTTTTTTGGATAATTTTTTTATAGTGTTGACACGATGAAAGCTGTTGAAAGCTTTGGGCTCAATCCTGCAAAGTGCCAACAGCTTCTCGTAAGGCGCTGAGTGCCCTTTGCTCCCAATGACTTCAGTAAGAGGTGAGGATACGCAGTACCTCCCAGGAGCAGTCTCTGTGAGGTGGAAATTTGCCTCCTCCTCGTATAGCAAAACATGATCCTTTGTTAATATTTGGCTCTCAACACTCTATCTTGAATATTTATTTTAGCACTCTTAACAGTCAAGAACAGGGGACAGAGCAGTCAGCCCCTCCTTGCCTCAAACTAGAAAATCCTTTGTCTGAAGAAGAAAAGCAGGAATAAGACCAGAACAACTGAAATACAAGGCAACATCACAGCATGATCGCAGAATAGGAAGCCAAGTTGGAAAGCAGCTTAGTAAGAAAAGAGTATGACTCCTGGTACCTACTCAGGGTCTCATCCAAAACCCACTGAAGCCAATGGAAAAAAACTCCCATTGACTTCACTGGGCTCTGGATCAGTCCCTTAGGATACGTTTATACTAATAAAAGACCCAGAGCTGACCTAGGTCAGCTGACTCAGGTTCACAGGACTTGGACTACAGGGCTATAAAATTGCAGTATAGACATTGAGGCTTGAGTTGGAACCCGGGCTCTGAGTACCTGCAAGGGGAGCATTCCAGAGCTCAGGCTCCAGCCCAAGCCCGAATGCCTACAATGCAATTTTATAGCCCGGCAGCCCAAATTCCATGAGCCAGAGTCGGCTGACCTGGTCAAGCTGCAGCTGAGCCACAGATCTTTTATTGTAGTGTAGACGTACTGTAAGACAACAAATCCAGCTCATCACACTACCCCCATGCCAGTCCAACAATGAAATAGGATCATAGGGTCTGATTCTGCAAAAGTGCTGATCACTTCCAGAGAGGTGTTGAGCAGCCCCAATTCCCCACAGACTTTGGGTATCTGGCCAGTGGTACAAGGAGATGGTAAAACCTATAAAAGCATCAAGAGGCCAAACCTACAAAATCTCCGGGAGTTGAGGGCACTCAGCATTAGCCCCCAAGTCACCTGGCAAGAGCAGGACAGTATCTCCTGACAGACGACATAACAGAGACTATACCTGATCTTAGCTAAAATGCAGAGGAAAAAAATACACAGCATATTGCTACTTGTTTAGCAATATAGTACAAGGGGAATAAGAACATATGATCATTTAAACTCAAAATTCATAAGCAAAGTTTTGAACAAGTTGACTCGAAAAGTGAATATAAATTTATTCTTGATTTTGTTAATCTCACATGTTCTTTCTATCTTTGTTAATTATACATTTTTTTATCATGCTGAAGAACTAAAAATATAATCCTAACAAATCCCATCTGGTATAAAAATTGAACATGTTCATTATGGAACAGAAAGGGCCAACAATTACTAAGTTTGTGTTTAGACATATTAGTAAAGTAGGGTGGATATTTGAATTCTTTTGTGGAACTTTGGGGGAAAAAAAGGGTTTATCTTTGAAAAAAAAATATAAAAGGGTTTTTATGATTTACTTCCTATTTAAAAAAATACTACTCCCTCTTTGCACTCACTAGTACTGTATATAACATCCAAGGATCTCAAAGCACATAACAAACGTGGAATTAGACTTCACAACATCACAGTGAGCTACCGTGGCAAGTATGATGACCTCATTTTACAGATGAATGATCTGAGGCACAGAGGAGTTACAGGCCATATATTCCAAAGGTTGGATTCCCATTTGACAATAAAATTTGTGCCTGTAAAATTTTGCCCTTGCATTAGAAGTAGAAGTTTAAAACAGGCAGTTAAAGATGTCAGTATAGCAATCTCCTTCTGCATCATTTTGTGGGTGCAATTTTTACACAAAAAGGGAGTGCAAATGAAAGGTTAAGCCTGAGTGACATGATCACATTCACACCAGAAGTCTATGGCACAGCCAGGAATGGAACCCAGGTGTCTCTTTTGAGCTTAGTTACATCAGTGTACATAGAATCATAGATTATTAGGGTTGGAAGGGACCTCAGGAGATCATCTAGTCCAACCCCCTGCTCAAAGCAGGATCAATCCCCAACTAAATCCCCAAATGGCCCCCTCAAGGATTGAACTCACAACCCTGGGTTTAGCAGGCCAATGCTCAAACCACTGAGCTATCCCTCCCCCCCATCTAGGGTAATACCCTTGTAACTCTAAACAGTGCATATTTACAGCAATTACAATGTATAATAAATTTTACAAAAACCAATCAGTTTAACTAGGTCATGGTTCTTGTTTTAGGTTTGCATATTATTTTTGTTCAGACACTTTATATTCATGGCAGTCCTTTTCTATATGTTGCATGTTTTACCTATGAGATAGGTTCTCAAAATGGGTGCCTTTCACTGTACTTCATAAATTCAAAGATAGATATAAATGAAAAGACAATGCTCAGATACTATGGTGATTGGTATCAATATAAGACCCGAGAAAGATAGACAGACAGAAACAGGAGATACCCTAGGCTAAATAGTGCCCAGCACTATGGGAGTCCATGGAGAGGATATAGGGATCTTTGCCCATCCCCTGCATCATTCCACAGGTGGTAGGTACAATTTCAGTGGAAGCATTATTACTGATTTTAAAAAGCTGTGTTAGCATCCCAAATGCAGGCTGGGAAGGTGTTTCACCCCTTAAAGTGGTAACAAGAGGAGCACTAACCATATCTGTTTAAAGAGTGATGGATCAATCACCCCAACTGTGCATTTCCTAGGATCCTTGGGAAATTCTTACTTAGAGAGCCAGAGTTCCTCTTGGGTCTCCTATTACAGAAAGGCTCCTCCACTTGAAAACCACAATCTGACCCTGTTTGTGCAACCTAGTGAACAAATGATTAAGTAGATGCCACATTGGGCACCCTGGGATCCACATTAAATCAGAATTGTACTAAGATCAGCCAAGTGTTAGGATTAATGTCTCAAACTTTTGGGACGCCTACAAAAGATTCCAAATGTTTAATTCATACAATCGCAAGGATTTTCTGAATTAAGCTAATGTCACTTAATCTATTTGAATCTCCCATGGCTTGGGCCAGAGGTAAACCCAGGTCATTGCATTAAACATTTAAGAAAGGCCCTCCATGCACACACACCTCTATAAACACATCAGGTAGTCAATATTGTCTGAAAGTACTCTGTGATTTCTTCCCTGCCATTCCAGATTAAATGCAGCAGATTTCTATGAAGCATTTTTGGATTATGCTTAATCTGTCAACCAAAACTCAATGTATTATCTCTGTGGTACAAAGGAATTGCCACATCGGATCAAACCAATGGTCACTCTAGTTCCGTATCCTGATTCCAACAGTTGCTAACACCAGATAATTCAGAGGAGAGTTAAGCTCTCCTGACAGACAATTTATGTAATAACAAGCATGGGGGGCGGGGGATGCAACAATAGCAGCACTACCTGTGAAGAGGAACAGAGTCGTTTTACTAGGCCAGTATAACTTGGGTTACTTTAAATGTACTTGTTATCAGAACTCCTCTCACAAAGCCATACTCAGGTTGCTGAGTTTACAATCTTTACTCACAGTTTTATGAGGTGAATGTCCTTGTGCTTAAATTTATTAGGAACGGCTGCCCTGGATAATAAAGCATCAGGGAAGATGGGAATGCGAGCAATAGTCTACTACATGACTACTACTATCATTGCTGTAATTATTGGTATAATCATTGTGGTCATCATCCACCCTGGGAAAGGTACAAAGGAAAATATGCACAGAGAAGGCAAAATTATGAAAGTGACAGCAGCAGATGCCTTTCTTGATTTAATCAGGTATGGCTATTATATTGTACATCTTCTGTAGCAGTGGCAACAGCAGCAATATTTAGATGTACATCACAAGGAAAATTAACATAGACAATCTGGGACAGTGACTAGCTAAACTAGCCAAACTTCACTTGAAGCTGGTGATGCCAACATTGTATTACAAAATACAGAACTAGCACAGTAAGTACTTTCAAATAAGCAGCTGAACAAAATGTCAAGGAAAGAAACTGCTTTTAAAATTCAAAGCAATGTTGTGTTCAGAAACCTGCTTTACTGCCTCCACATGTTCCTCTTCTCCCCCCAAAACTACAACTTCTAACACCAAGTTCCTCTCCTTTACCCCCTACTCCAGCAAGAATCTCATTCCACCTGAATCCATTCATTTAGTCATTCATCTTATTTTACATGGCAGCCCCTGCTTTGGGGCCATATGGTTACCTTTGCTCAATTTGCATGGAGAAGAGAGAGAGACCAGGGAAAAGTAGATAAAAAGCATGAAGCAGCATGGAGCAGAAGCAATGTAGCCTGTTTCCTCCAAGCTAAAAGAAACTCTGCAGTGCCATTTCTATCCAACTGATGTTCCACAGGGGTGTGCCAGGAAGTGGGGAAGCAGATAATGAATGTGAACCCAATGGCTTTACCACCAAGAAATTCAGAAGAAGTTCATGCTTTGTTAACTCCAGCAGAGGGGGTCACAGAGCACAGACATGGAGGGAGGCCTCCAAGAGCCATGCTGCAAGGAAGGTGGTCTCCAGAATGGAGCAAGAAGAGGCTTTCACTCAAGATAATTCTTCAAGATCAGATAGGTGCAGACTGGCATTTATTCCTTGCGGAATTTCAGCATTATGGAAAAAACACTTGTAATACATATAAAATATTACCCTAAAATACTTTATGCCATGTCAAATGTAATTTAACATTAGAAAGAGAGCTGTATGAACAGATTTTTCAGTTTGATGGCAATTTCAAAAAATAATAAAAAAATTGTTTTGGATCAAATGAAAAATAAAAATTTTCAAAATATTAGGCAAACTAATAAATCAAAAAAAATTTGCTTTGGGTCAAACAAAATGAAACATTTTTGTTCAATTTTGACCATTAACGTTTTTTAATTTAAAAAAAGTAAAATAAAAGGAACTTTCAAAACAAAAAGTCATTTCAAATTGAAAAATTGAAACACTTTGTTTTGACAAAGTGTCAAAACAAAATGTTTCGATATTTTGGGGGAAATTTTGTTAGTTTTTTTTTTTTTAACTGAAACAATTTGGCAAAATTGACATGAATGTGTGAAATGTTTAAGTGTCACTGAATCTGTATCATTTGCTGAAAAAAATATTTTGGTCAAAAAATGTCATCCAGCTCTAATTAGGAAAACTTACTGACTATTCCCTTTTAGTAATCACAATAAGACACACTAGATTGTGTGACTATCAAAATGTCAGCAGTTTTCATTTGAAAAGAAGTGGTGCTGCATTACATATTGAGCAAAGTTAATCTGTATCCAGATCATTTTAATAAATACCTATACCAAAAAAGACAGTACAGACCCTCTAATCATGTTCATTTGGCAAACCAACCAACATTCTGTTTCATGGCCAGCCCTGTTACGTAGGATTTGAAACACAGTTCTTTACTCACTGGCCCAAACCATCCCTCCTAAATTTTCTTGAAAAGATAATAAGGTAATACTATAAATGAGGCCCTATTCAGTGTAACATATACACATGTATTTTTTCATCTTAGTGGTCCTTTAGTAATCAGTTTATCCCCATCAGCTGAGCTACCGGTTAATATGTTGCTAGAACGTGATTAATATTTCTGACATTTTATCTCTTTTTCACAGAAACATGTTCCCTCCAAACTTGGTGGAAGCCTGCTTTAAACAGGTAAAACTGTGCTGTTATTTCTAACTGAAACTCCAATATGGTATCTTTCATGTAGTAAATTAAAGACTGAAATGTTATTAATATTTTTTTAAGGAACAGCCAATGATTTTGCTTGTCCTTACAGCAATCATGGATCTTACATGTACTGTTATTTTTCAGCTAAAGAAAATTAACTAAAATGGATATTTGTTTTCATTCATTTGTACAGTGGTACTTGCTGTGAGAACTTGGGAAAACCCACTTAGGCCAGCAAGCTCAAAAATTAAAACTTCTCCAGATCTGCCTGATTCATGAGCCTAAGGCAAGCTTAATGAAAATCAATGGAGAATTTTCTTTTCAAAGACAATATTGGGCTCAGGGGGACAAGGAGATGGTGAATAATCAATGTACTATTGGTACAAAGGCTGGAACGCATCCAGGAATATCACATGGGAAGTCTGCAAAGAACATAGGTTGGAAGTAGAGGAGCCAACTCTGCATACATCAAAGGCGAAACATATAGGTCAAATTAATATAAAGCATTGCTTGTATTTCTCACTTACTGACTGATGATAAGGCAGGAATGCCACTTAATTGTTACTTATCGTGTTCCTCCACCTGTAGTCTAGCCCTAGCCAACATTCCTGTTAAAAGGGAAAAACAAAAGACACTAATGAGATTTTTAAATTCCCTTTAAAAATTTTGGAGAGCAATACATGAATATAGTGAGCCTTCTACATATATGTATGTTGCTATGAATATGATTATTTCTTTCTAATACTATAGTTTTTCATCTTTAGCTGATGCTATACACCATTCATTAGTGTCTGTATCAGAAACTTTGCCTGGAGCCATAGCTGTATCTTGAGGCTTCTCTATGCCTTACAATATCTTTAAAATGTCTCACCTTCATGTGCTCAGTACTCAGGGGGGTCTAGTCTTATTAAATAGTCTCAGTAACACTCCAAGCTACCATGGAAAAGAGTTCTGAACAAACACCTGAATGAGGCCAGTTTAAATGACTGATAGTGAACAGCAAAGTAGTTCATACTAGTTGTTTTAAACCCAGTATATGCAAGGAGATTTTACCTTAGTATGAGAGTTAAATTTTTATTTAAATGCACAATTTCCACTCTATACAATGCAAGAACTGTTATGCAAATAAAAATGTTCTGTAGGTTTTGTTGACAAACATACTGTGCTTCTCAATTTACCTTACAGTATAGAAGAATTGCCAGAAATAGCTGAATAAATAGGAGATATTTAAGGACAATTGTTTCTGGCTGGTCCCTTTCATCATTAGACTGTGCTTACTGAGAAAGCATCTCTTTAAATCTGTCCATTTCGGCATTATTAATGTTTAAATCATACCTTGAACTTAGAATTAAGTAAGATAAATAAAATACAATGGGATTTTTAAAAACTAGAAATTATTTTATCATCAAATCTGTAATATAAAATATTAATCCATTTCACAGCAGACATAATTATGGGCCAGATTTACAAAGGTATTTAGACATCAAAATACCCTGGCCCTGTAGCCTTCTTTTCAAAAACTTACTTTAAGGTTTTCAGTGTGTTTCTCAGAAGACTTGTGAAGAAGGTATTATTTAACTGGCATAGTCTGGTTCACTAACATTCTAAGTATTAGCATAAAGACTGAAAATTCTGACACACATATTTCATAATCCTTTGTTCCCAAGAGATTACAATGATGTATGGCTGCAGAAAGATGGAAACCGCAATTGCCATCAGCTCTATATCCAAATTGCCATCAAATCTGCATCAAAATCAAGCAGTTCTGATAATCTTTTCAAAAATGAGATTATTTGGTAAATTCTGTGGTGACATGGTTCTCTGCTCTGTTGTCGCCTTCAAAAACGAATATATTTGCTTGAAGAGATTTGCGGAATATGCATTAGAGCCTTTTCTTTCTTTATCCTGCTAGCCCACACTGGAAATAATGTAGTGAAATATATTGAGGTTTTATTCTCCTGCCCTTACATACAAGTATTATGATTCTGTTTGAATCATTGGGGTTTGAATCTATGACCTTCAGCACTGGAAACATGAGCCTTTACCTTTGAATTAAAAGAGTAGCTCTATTAAGCAGCAGCTGGAGCAGTACAAATTTTGTACTCCATCCTCCCATGTGCTACAGCCCATGCTCATATATATCAACTATTAATGTATGCTACAATACTGTGGTATATGACATTATATTGTCCTTACCATGACTCGTTTCCTTGAGGTGGACCCTTGTTTTCCATTTGCATGACTGAGGAAAGTAGGAGAAAGGGGAGCAGAATGCAGCAGCCAGGGGAGTTGGGGGAGCAGGAGTAACTGTGGGTAGTAAGGTAGTGGAAGGAGTCAGGGCAGACTGGGGGAAGGAGGGAGACCCTGGGATAGCCTGGAGTGGGTTACTGGGGGAGAGGGGAGAGCCTGGAACCCTGGGGATTGTTCAGGCAGGATCTTCGAGCAGTCTTCCCCATTCTGCCCTTGCTTCTGCTTCCCTTTCCACCCTTTGACCACCCCCACCTCCTGTTCTGTTCCCCTCCATTCTCTATCAGCAAAACCCTGAGGCAACAAGCTGGTGCCTCCTCTCCCTGCCCTCCCCCTCTCTGGTGGCAGGTAGGAGGAATCTCCACAAGGGCTGCACCAGCAAGAGGAGCATTGAGAGTGATGGAGCAGACAGTCTCTCCGCACTCAGCGCCAGCACCACAGCAGCCACTGGTGGGAAGGGGGAGTCACTACAGGGTAAAAAGGCCCTGCTCAGTCCCCACTGGGTGCATGTGAGGGATGTTTGTCAGAGCTGGGAAAACCCTGCCAATAAATTCCCAGCAAAAAAGTAGCACAAGGTTGTTAGGCCCCCACAAATGGGGTCTAGCCCCACAGTCTGAGGGAGCCTATAGTGGACTTTTATTTGGACCAGGCACTAGAGAGGGACAAAGACCCACACTGCCATGGTGTGTCAAGCTGGAAAGAAAGGTGCTGACACATAGATTTTGTCAGGAAAGTTAAAGTGCTTTCCCCCCCAATAAATCAGTTTTACCACCTCTAGTCCCCTGCTTTTCCGCAGGCAGTTCATCATCACTACCAACGTCCCATTCTAAGCTAGGCGGTACACTTCTCTAGATGTTTGGGAATTGCCTAGGAATTTTTGTGTTACTCTCTTCTCCCACTATGGAAGAACACATATACTACTACCTCCCTGTCTCTCTCAGATCTCTTCCAGTGCATCAATAACAGGTTTGGATCACTGCTAGCCTCAGAGGGTTAAACTAAATTGTGTGAGTCTTTACACCAGTTGTGTCCATCCATGTGATAAGTGTCAAAGTCTTCACTCCACTGTACATTGACAACTTGTTTTTGTGGTTTCTATTAGCAGTGGATGAAACTCAAATGATTCAGTTCCAGTAAGTATCCAGATAGCTTGGGTGCTTATCTGACGCTTAGATAAATTTATTCAAATTCTTCTCTCTTCATAATCCCCGTATTCTCTCTCACTCATGACATTCTAATAGATTCCTGGCACAGTCTTCTATCTCTGACCCTGATCCCTTCATTTCTTTGCCTCCCCTAAATTTGAAGAGCCTATGGTATGACCCAGAAGAATTAGCAACCAGTCTAGTAACCTGCAGTTGCTATTCAGTTCTAATTCTTCATGTTCTGAGGCTATGTCACAGGGGCGAGAGAGATCAGGATGAACTGGACAGCCCTGGGGAAGGAAAGGCAGCGCAAGAGCCTGTGGGATGGTCAGCATTTTGGCAGTTTTCACTTGAAAATAAGTGGAACCTGAAGCCTATTGAAGTATCACAAAGAGGAATTTGTGGCACCTAATGTTGGAAATTAAGAAGGTCTGACATAAGAGAATGGCAAGGGTCATCCTGCTAACTGTATTTTTTCTGAACCTGTTCATCCATTTGTTATTATTCTTTCCTGCAAGTCCCTGTACAATGGAACAGAAGTGTTAAGCATACAACAAGACACATTAAGTATATCAACATAATGCTAGCTATTGCCTGCACTTACAATAGCTGGTTGAGATATATTACAGCTACTGTTAAGATGCCTGATTCATTAATGCTTCCATAAATAATTTAGTATGATTAAAATGTGCATCACACTAGTCTGCATGAAATTAAAAGAAATGCTGAATCAGGAATCTGAGGTACCATTTTTCTTATGTTCCTCATTTTTGCTCTTATGGTGTATTTCACCTTGGCAGTGGCAGGTTGGGAGGTTTGAGCTGGTATAATGGTCACCATTAAAAAATATTTCACCAAAAGTTACACCACAGTATCTGAGTCACCAAATTTACATTATATTCTAATTGCATTGTCTCACATACCATGGTGTTATCTCTGTTGGTAACTACTGAATTTTAATAGTAACCATTTTATATCACTATCTTTTTTGCAAGTTAATTACTGACATGTTCAACTACACTAGTATGAGGTTGCTAATTTAAATATCATGCAGTAAATTAAAATCAAATTGCTTTCAATGGTTTATATCACCAAATACAGTGATAATTCATTTTAGTATGTAAGACAATCAATACTGTTTGTTTTCATACTAGGATAATTTAATTAAAATTCATCTTGAAATATATTATTCATTACTGAAATAACACCACAGCTTGCAAAAGTCCAATAATGCCATTCTTTTAATTTCTATAATTCTATCAAGGAAACAAGGCTCTGCCTTGAAATGAAGGGGCCATATCCTCAGCTGGTATAAATCAGCATAGCTCCATTGACTTGTGAGGATCTCTGGTCCGTCATGTACTGGTAACTTGGACATGGTGTATTACTGCCAAAATATAACAACCTAGTTTTCCTGATACCCCTGTCCTGCAATGCCTTTCTTAACTCTCATGAGTAGTCCCATTGAAGAAATAGTCAAAAGAATAAAGACTCCCAGTATCAGGAAGTAAGATATTAAAATGTCACTTTGATCTAACTGAACTCTACTAGAGTTCAGTTTAACCCTGTAATTCATAGAAATATCCTCAGCCAGCCCCCAATATATAGCTTGTGCCTTTCCCTTCACATAAGGGCCCACACAGATAACCTAGCTCTCCTCCCACTGAGATGCAGTAGCTGCCTACTTAAAAGTGACCATCTTCTGGTTCCCATCTTGGACTGATAAGGGCTGGGATTTATTAGCAGTTCAGGCACTGCATCTCAGACTGTGATTCAGTGTATAAACCCCACACTGGAACTAAAGGGGTTAAGGAGCAACTCAGGGCCTAGGTGACCTTACCCAGCCACACCTGCAAAGAATGTGCCAGCTGAAGGTGGAGCAGAAGGGACCTGATAGGGCAGGGAGAAAGAGCTATCTTGAGAGCTCCTGAAGAAGGGTGCTGCAGAAACCTTTTCCCTGAGGGAAAGAGCCTGCCTGCTGAGCCCAGAGGGGCTGAAGGTTCAACTATTCTCTTCTTCTTTCACTACTTTGAGGCAAACTGTAAGACTTTGGTGAGAGAGTGGGTGGTAGGAAGTGGTCTGGGGAGACAGCTTTAAGGCAGTCCTGGTGCTGGACATTGGTGCCTCTTACAAGATCCTGGGCCACAGACTAGTGGAGTGGGGGGCCTGGGTTCCCTTACTAATCCCCCTTGTTAAGAAGGGCATGAAAATTCTCACTTCCAAACTCTCCCTCGGGGAAGGAAGCAGAGGGTAAAGACCTTTAGAATCCTGCAGCAGGGATTGGACACCCACAGACAGACTAAAGGTTCCCCTCCAATCCTGAGGGTGGGGGACACCATGTCTTCCTTAGGACTCTGTCACCCTGCAGATAGATAAGACTGATGGGTGACTTGACTGGAGGCTTGTGACAGTAGCCAAGGGAAAATATTGGAGGTGGGGCAAGCAGAGGCCTAGCCCCCTAACCACTAGGTGATGCCACCAACTAACACCGTCCATCACAGAGATTTCAAAGCAGTTGCTCCTGGAAATGTTGCTGCTGTTGGTACTCCTACATAAATGGCAGCAAGACTTGATGAACAGCAGCCTGGGGTTGATGTTGTTGACTCAGCAATTCAATCATCGATTTCAAGACCTAATACATTTACTCCCTTTGTGAAGAAGCTGTTTCATCTTGCCCTGACTCTACCTGTAAGCAGGTGGAGTTCCCACCCTGCTCCTAACACAATACACTCACTGGCTGCAGGCCAAACTTACCCCCTTCTTGGGATTTCCTTTATTGCAACCTAAAAAGCAACAACAAAATATAAACCTCAGCCTATATTTTCTCCTGAGACCAACTAGAATTCTTCCCTGCACTAATACTGTGTCCTAGACCCTAGTTTTCTGTGCCTCAGAATGACACCCATTATCAACTCAGACCCTTTCATATCCTGGTTTGGCATTAAAAGGATGCCATAATCTGTCGACAGGGTGAGTCAGCAGAAAAGCTCTACATCTGTGCAGGGTTCTAGTGCCTGACATCAGGATGAATCAGCAGAAGAGTTCTGAATCTCTCTGTAAGGTCCTTGAACTTGATACCCTATTTCATGCCCTTAAAAATAATATTAACTAATAAAGGATCAAGTGTTTCTCTATATTGAAATGGAATTTGAGAAATGGTACTTCCACTGGGAGTTAAGAACTGAATCCAGCTTTATGCCTGCAATGGTTAAGCAAATACTCTTGAGCAGTGAATCAAGACTTTGTGTCTGATGTATGGAATCTAACCACACCTCAGACCAGTTGAACTCTTTTCTTCCCCTACACTCAGGTTGCTGTTCTTAGTCACAAGAATGTCAACTGTGCATTCATTTCACTTAAAAACTTCCAAAGTCTTGCAATAGTTTTGAACTATTAGTAATAGTACTGAACTCCTTGGGCCTGATCCTCATTATCAGTGGGTAGGTGTAATGGGGTAAAATTATCAACATCACCTAAGTGACTTAGATGCCTAAGTACCATTGGGTGCAATGAGATAAAAGTTCCTGAGTCACTTAGGTGCTTTTAAAAAATTTTACCCAGAGAGATGTAAAGGTTGCCTTTATGTAAATGAGAATTAGGTTCCTTGTGTTTAGACAGGATAAGTCTGTGATTTGTTTTCTGGTACAGATATAAATATGCAGGATATGAAATTATCATGGGAAAAATAGAAATGAATGCATTGTGGAGTATTGTTTTCAAAGCAAAGATTTGGAGAATGCTGAGAATTTGAATCTGATTTGTCCACTTGATGTCAGTGGTCACACGAGACAGAATTCTTTTGTAAACAAAGAGGTAAATCAATAACAAATGGTTAAAAGAGAGAGACAAATTCATGGCTTTGTCATGGAAAAAATATGTAAAAGTCCTAATTTCAGTATTTAAAAAAGGAAAAGTCATGATACATGATACTTATATTATCCTTACATTTATTTTTCCAGTAGAAAAATGTGAAATATCTGTAATCAATAGTTTAAAAGCATATAAAGAGCCAAAAAAGTCCAATTAATGGAAAAGTCTTGCTGAGTAGTAGGCAAACTCAGTGAAAAAAATCACGACTCATTATAAAAACACAAACTAAAAGACACATTTTTGTCACAAAAATCATATATCTGACAAACATACAGCTTTGATCATGACTATGAGAAATATTAATCTGAGCACATGAATTCTTGAAAATAAAGGTGAAATGCTGGCCCCATTGAAGCCAATGCAAGGTTTTCCATTTACTTCAGGGGATCCAGAATTTCACCCTAAAACTTTATTTTACCCCTAAATATGACACAAACTAATAACTTAAAAGACATTTTAAAATGGGGAAGTAATAATGCTAGTATCACGAGAGTGATAAATGACGAGTGTACTTGTCTGTTTTTGTAGTAAGTCACTCTGTTTTCTGTCTTTTCTTCTTTTTTTTAAGTTCAAAACGAACTATGACAAGAGAATGTTTAGAGTAGCAATTCCACCCAATGAAACATCCGTTGTGGCTTCCGTAATAAACAATGTATCAGAGGCAATGGAAACCCTAACTCGAATGAAGGAGGAGGTGATCCCTGTTCCAGGTGCCGTCAATGGAGTGAATGCATTGGGACTGGTGGTCTTCTCAATAAGCTTCGGATTGGTGATTGGGAACATGAAGGAGCAAGGGCAGCCATTAAGACACTTCTTTGATAGCCTTAATGAAGCTATCATGAGATTGGTAGCTCTAATCATGTGGTAAGTGCCTCTGTTAAATGCTATGTTAAATTATTATGTCAAAATGTTTTGAACATTCAGCACCAGTATGTGCTGGATACTGAGGATCTGTGTTTTGTAGGAGGTCAGATTAGAAGTTCATTGTTCAGCTTTGCCGGAAGGAGGACAGGAAAGACTGGCTGTGATTTTGTTAGGCCACAAGTTTATTCCTAAATGTCAGTAAGTACCTGGCAGATAAAAGTGTACAATGCAGGTAATTCCATAATCCTTTACATATGCCTGGGGGGGGGGCTGCTATCAGCCCTCCCCCTTTACTCATCCTGGTCCCCAGCCAACCCGCTGCTGTGATCTCACCACCTCCCCCCCTCAAATGTGGGTTAAGGGGGGCTATAAAAGAGGTGGGGTTGGCTCCCTGCTGTGCCAGTCATAGGAGCCCTGAAGCCCCCTTTCTCTTCATTTAAAGAATATCTCCTTTAAATCCTTTACCAATCCATTTTATGTGATCACTGTATCCCTTCCCTATGGAGTACCTGCACTAGACATCCACCCACATTGACATAATGAGTCGTGACATCGTAACCTAACCATCATTTCATGTTTGCCCCAACTAAGCCCCCAACCCACTGTAGGGAAGGTGAAAAACCCCACCTTGCCTCGGCCAATCTGGTGGTATAGGAAAAATGCCTTCCCAGACTCCTGAGAAAGAAGCAACTAGAGTAATCCCCACAGCAGATCATGAAAAACCTGGTATTTAACTATTTCTTGTGGGTGGGAGGATTGGTGATGCTCTACCTGATCCAGGTAAAAAGAGGGCTTTTCCTGAACCAGCGCAGACCTAAATAGTCTCCCCTCTTCCAGTCACCAGGGGCGGGGAATGGGTCAGCATCCCCCACACTGACCTGGTCTAAAGCTGCTGCAGCAAGTCACTGTCACACTCAGCAGTCTTTCCAGGGGGGCAGCCTTTCCAGCCTAAAAAGGGCCACACACCTTTTCCTTCAAGCCAGACAATGCCCCCACAGCTTAATGTACAGCGAGGTCATCATGGTCTCTTCTGGCCTTAAAAATCTATGAATCTAAGAATCTTCTGCTGCTGAAAATTGGTATAGCTCCATCGACTTCACTAGACCTACCCCAATTTACAGCTGCTGAGGATCCAGTCCTGAAGGATAATATCCGTTTAGCTATTTATAACTAAACATGATGTTTTAAAATTGAGTTCTGCACACTGATAATCTGAAAAGGATCTAAATATTTTAACGTATATTCATCTCTTGATGCATGTGAGTAATTCCTATTGTCATTACCATTAAGAGGTAAATATACTCTTTAGAGTCCATGACAGAGTTTGCTTGGCATATAAAGATCCTCTTATCATATGCTAACTCCTATCATTCCTTCCCTCTAACTCTATGGCACCATGTCAATGTCCCATTTATCAACAATATGCCCATTATTTTCATTAGTTCAGAACACTATTTGCTTTTCCAATGTGCATAGCATATTAATATGTCACTGCTATTCCCAAATGTTCATTCTCCTATGAATTGTTGTTAGTTTTTATATGGTATTCTACAGACAAATGACAATGAAATCCCTGCTCAGAAGGGTTACCATAAAATCTTTACAAAGTCTAAGATGCAACATTTCTCAGTCAGAGGCCAAATACAACAATTCATTTATGAAATGACATCTTCCCTCACATGCTACAGCTGATCATTTTCACAAACACATATACATCTCCAGTGTCATGGAAACTCCTTAAGTAATGGATGAAAAGCTATAAAGAAGTTTATTTTTTCTAATAATTTCTAATATTTTTTCAAACATTTTGTCCTTTACAATCACATTTCTAAACATTATTAATTATGAATTGTTATTATTATCCTGGAAATGTTTGAGAATTTAAAATATGGAGTGAGAATTATTACATTGGGAAAACTTCAAGGTGGGTTTGATGGCTGCTGAGTGTAATGTTATAATCAATGTAATAATCAAGTTCTGTTATTTTACATGAGTGTAGTAAAATGACAGGTAACGACTTTGTAAATAAGACCCTGTGAAAAGTCCAGCTGCAATTAAGATTATCTTTTATATACCTTAACTAGCAGGTTGACGTATTGAGCGCTAGATCCCGACCTCAGCTCTGGCTGAGTAGTATTTGGCACAGCTGAGGAAAGTGGTTTAAGCTACTTTTGCAAAGGGCAGGTCTTCACTACGGGGGGGGTCGATTTAAGATACGCAAATTCAGCTACGCGAATAGCGTAGCTGAATTCGACGTATTGGAGCCGACTTACCCCGCTGTGAGGACAGCGGCAAAATCGACCTCCGTGGCTCCCAGTCGACGGCGCTTACTCCCACCTCCGCTGGTGGAGTAAGAGCGTCGATTCGGGGATCGATTGTCGCGTCCCAACGAGACGCGATAATTCGATCCCCAAGAGATCGATTTCTACCCGCCGATTCAGGCAGGTAGTGTAGACCTAGCCAAAGCATAGGTGCATAGTCTCCATCATAAAAGCAGCCTCCAGGTGGCTCTACCTATCCTATGCCCATCTGCCTATGGCCTGAAGCAGCCTGGCATCAGCCAAACCTAATAGCTTTCTGGCTGTACCCTTTTCCCCAACCATTTTCAGCACTGGGAACCAGAATGCAGGTGGCAAAGAAGCCACTACGCCAGCCCTACACAACCCAGGCATTCCCCTACACAGAGGTAATCCTCAGGGAATTGTTTTAAAGTGGCCTTTAAATGGCAGTCAGGAGTCCATCCGCTGTAGATGGCTGGGAGATGGACTGACTGCATTCTCTTCCTGACCTCCTTTTTGCTGACCCTGACCCCAGCAGAGCCACGCAAGTGTTGCAGCCACTTTCACTGCTGTAGCCTCCACTAGGTTGACTTGCCACTGCCCAGGAACTTGAATTGGGTCCAGGATGTTTATGGTCATTATATCAGTATAACTTTGTAAACAAACATCTATTTGTTCAGCACATACTGATTTGCTTACTTATTTGTAGGTATGCCCCACTTGGTATCCTGTTCTTGATTGCTGGGAAAATTGTTGAGATGGAAGATATGGGTGTGATTGGTGGACAGCTTGCCATGTACACTGTAACAGTTATCATTGGTTTGCTCATTCATGCTATTATTGTTCTACCACTACTCTACTTCCTGGTTGTTCGTAAGAACCCTTGGGTATTTATTGGAGGACTTCTGCAGGCACTGATCACAGCTTTGGGAACATCTTCAAGGTACGCTATGAAATTTTTAAGTCCCAATTATACATAAAATCTACCAAAATGTTTCCAATCCTGCAGTCCATATGCAAATTTCCAACGGATGTCAATGAGAGGGCCTTAGTCTACACAAATACCATGAGGCATTAGAAAATGGATATGAGTCAACAGTGTGCCCTTGTTGCCAAGAAGGCTAACGGCATTTTGGGCTGTATAAGTAGGGGCATTGCCCCTGCAGCCTCTATGCCCCTGCCTGCCCTGCTCCTCCTCGCCCTGCAGCCTCTGCACGCCCCGCCTGCCCTGCTCACCCGGCAGAGGGAGAGCTGCGGGCTCCACGTGGACCCAAACACTGTGCCGTGCTGCTCTGCGGGGGAGGAGGGAGCAGGGGAGGGGGAGGGACTCTGGCTGCTAGAGGCCCCAGTGGACGGCCCCAGCGGACGGCCATTTAAAGCTGAAAAAGCCGGACATGTCCGGGGAAACCCGGACGGATGGTAACCCTATCGTTCCCCTCTATTCAACATTGGTGAGGCCTCACCTGGAGTACTGTGTCCAGTTTTGGGCCCCACACTACAAGAAGGATGTGGAAAAATTGGAAAGAGTCCAGCGGAGGGCAACAAAAATGATTAGGGGACTGGAGCACATGACTTATGAGGAGAGGCTGAGGGAACTGGGATTGTTTAGTCTGCAGAAGAGAAGAATGGGGGGCGATTTGATAGCTGCTTTCAACTACCTGAATGGGGGTTCCAAAGAGGATGGATCTAGACTGTTCTCAGTGGTACCAGATGACAGAACAAGGAGTAATGGTCTCAAGTTGCAGTGGGGGAGGTTTAGGTTGGATATTAGGAAATACTTTTTCACTAGGAGGGTGGTGAAGCACTGGAATGGGTTACCTAGGGAGGTGGTGGAATCTCCTTCCTTAGAGGTTTTTAAGGTCAGGCTTGACAAAGCTCTGGCTGGGATGATTTAGTTGGGATTAGGTCCTGCTTTGAGCTGGGGGTTGGACTAGATGACCTCCTGAGGTCCCTTCCAACCAGGGGCAGCTCTAAGCACCAGCAAAGCAAGCAGGTGCTTGGGGCAGGCCATTTGCAGGGGCAGCAGCCGGCAGGGATCCAGCATGGGAGCTGAGAACCAACAGGGGGCCATGGGAGCTGTAGTTCCTTGGTTAGCTCCCTGCCTATAGAGCCAGCCCTGGAGCAGGGAAAGAACTACATTTCCCAGCATTCCCTTGGCCGCAATCAACAGGAAAGGGAGTGGGAGGAAGTATGTTGCTGAAACCTCATGCTGCAGCTTGCTGTGAATGGAGAGCTCACTGCTAGAAGTGGTGGTCCTGTGAATGGGGAACAAGTGTGCCCAAGGAGTAGAAGGCTTTGCCCCAGAGATCCCCTTCAGAAGACATCCCCAGCCTGGATTAGGGATACTCTGTGACCTCACCTTGCAGCCCCCCAAAGAAAGAATTGGGTGGACTAAATGGACAGTGCACCTCTCTATCTGAAGCCTAGCAAGGGAGGTACGTGGATCCCACTAGAATTTAAAATGAAAAGTAAGGGA